TTTAGACGTCTTCATTCGGTCGTGGAAGTGGTTCTGCTTTTACGAGCTCTTACATTCTTCTTTTCCCCTTATTTCTTCTGTTCTCTGTTTTTCTTCTTCGTTTCTCTTCCTTTCTTTTCCTCTTGTCTTCCCTTCTTCCGGACTTCTTTTTCTTCAGCCGTCCTCCTCGATCTTTTCCACACATCGCGATCCGAGACCAGCTTCTTGTTCACAGATTTTAGGAAATTGAGTTCCCAGTTTTTGTCTTCTTTGGTTGTATCGAGGAGGTCACGTTCCTGCGTCCACTGAATGATTTCTGTTAAAAGGGACAATAAATTATTTCGTGGATGGAAAAAACGATAGTCGGGGAAGGGAAGATATTGCTATTCACTTAAGTTCTCAGAGAGCGCCATGGTTCTGCCGTAATTTGGAAACTAATTCATGGCTCAATGAGTAACGAACCTGTGGGGATGTTCTTTAGAGACACAGGAAAATAATGAAAAAAAGAACCATCCGCGACGATCCGGAGGAAATTAGAGGAGTCAGAAAGATCGGCCCTATTTTATTAGTTTAATTTAGACCATCAATCATGTTCCAGAGGCTAATTAGATAGGAAAATAAAAATCAGTCAGAGCAATTTTTAAGGTTTTCTTTTCTGTTTTCATTCGCTGTCAGGGTAAGTTTCCGTGAACCCAAATTCCTCGCCTCCACCTCTACCTCCATAGCCTAGCATACTGAGCGACCCAGGACCGTTACTTTTCCCCGAAACTTCGAGTTATCCCATCTTTTCCTATTTTTTGGGAATATTTGCATTCTTCCTTTTACTTTTACAATTTTGTTTGGGAAATGAAGTTACCTTAGGGATTTTTTTACAGTTAGTGACAGCGAATGCTGTCCCCATCCGGTTTGGTAATTCCGGATGAAAATTACCTGCGGCTCATTTATTCAATTTTAGCAGGGTCAATTAAACTTAGGAGAAGTAGGCCGAACTTAACCAGCATATTCAACGCGCAGAAGAAAATATCACGTTACAAATGTTATCAACGTTTTACAGCGCATGAACACTTTGATCCTCATCACTATTTCCTGAAGATAAATGTGTGTCAGTTTTATAAAGAATTGAAAATTTTTGGCAGACAATTGGCTTGAAGAATCTACAGATAACCACCTTTCTGTTACCTCCTAAGGAAGATTTTTGCCAATAGAATAGTATTCACTTTCATCGTAGAGAGAGGAAGTTGCTTTTAGTCAGCATGGTATTCGGATTCAGAAAGCGATCACTGGCTTCCAGTAATCAAATTAGTTGAATGGAGAACTCGGCTTCCAATTTCGAGAATCTGGGTTCAGAAAATGATAATCTGGGTTCTGGAAGTCGATGACCACTTTCGAGATCCTTGCACTATTCTTCCTACAAATCAAAAATTTTTGGACTACTACTGAGGGGCATAGCGATTAAGTAGGAATTTCACCTTTGATTGCTGCTAAATCAGGTCCTGTGGCTCCGTGGGCCTGAGGATTGTCAGTTAAGACCCTCTTCGTCACATCGGTATAGAGATTTCTTCTGTATGTTTCTGACCAGAAGTGTTTCACGACAAAATCGATGCGTTTAGTTACTGACTTACACCCCATCAAGGTAGTACAATTACTGAGGGATAATGAGAATCGCTCACTAATGTGAACCTAAAACAAGGATGACCTCAACAGACACAGATATAGCTGAATGTTTGCATAAGAAGGACCCACTTTGTCATTTTTATATTATTATATTATTATGTTATTATCTATATTGAATACAACTGTTTCACATGCAGAGCATTATTTTTGCCCAGCGTTGAAAAAATGACACAATAACGATTGAGCACAAAATCAAAGTTTCTGAACTATTTTCAAAAATTAAGCTCTCACCATTCCATTTTGGTCAGCATTAAGTTTTACTTTTGGGCGACCATGGTTATCCAAAAGATCTTTCATGCAATCCTTGAATATGCCGAGCGTAATTTTCGGCGGCATAGGCAGATCTTGTAAAATAATGTCGTATTTTTTTTGTCTTTCTTTCAATGCCTCGTTCTCCTCAAGCAATTGTTGATAGTCAGGACGTGTAGGATTGGATAACTGTGAAATAAGAAAAAGTTAATGCAATTATACTGTAGACAAACATGAGCTGGAATGAAACAACGGAGTGAAGCAAAATGATTGAGATGGAGTCGTCAAGCAAACTGTATTGTGGAATTCACATGCTTGTTTTATTCTAGAAGTTTGAGAATTAAAAAAAAATGGAGACAAAAATAGAAATCTACTTATCCGGGGAAAGATAGCTTGTCAAAACCAACCATGCAGAATTCACTCAAAGGGAATTAACACACATTTTTAATTGAATGGATTTGCATTGAAAATACATATTTTGGCAATCTCTCATTTCAGTTACTGTCAGAAAATTTGTTC